GACTCTGACCTGAGCTGAAATGAAGAGTTGGATGCTTAACCAACTGAGCCGTCCAGATCCAGGCGACCCTCTTATCATGTCTTTTTTTTAAATGTTTATTTTTTTTGAGAGAGAGAGTGTGAGCAAGTGGGGGAGGGGGAGAGAGAGAAGGAGACACAGAATCTGAAACAGGCTCCTGAGCCTAATTTGGGATTCGAACTCATGAACCGTGATATCATGATCCCAGCTGAAATTGGACACTCAACAGACAGCCACCCAGGCGCCCCTGTGGTGTCTTTTGATGAACAAAAATTCTTTATTTTTTTAAGTTTATTTATTTTTTGAGAGAGTGTGTGCAAGTGGGGGAGGGGCAGAGAGAGAGAGAGGGAGACAGAGAGCCCCAAGCAGGCTCCATGCTGTCAGCATAGGGCCTGACTTGGGGCTTGAACTCACAAACTGTGAGATCATGACCTGAGCCAAAACCAAGAGTTGGGCGCTTAACCAACTGAGCCACTTAGGCACCCCAATGAACAAAAATTCTTAATTGTGACACAGAACTTATCATTTTATCTTTTTCTGGTTTGCACTTTTTTGTATTTTGCTTTAGAAGTCATTCTCTGCTCAGAGCCATAGAGATCTCTGTTCTAAATATTTTATAGTTTTGCATGTAACGTGTAGCTTTTTAATCTGCCTTGGATAGATTTTCCTCCCCTCTGGCTGCTTTTAACATTTTTGTTTGGCTTTCTTTTCAGTAATTTTACTTTGACATATCTAGGTGGGGTTTTCTTTGTATATTTTCTGCTTGGACTTAAGATCTTGAATCTGTGAGTTGGTATCTTTCATTGTATTGGGAAAAACCTATCAGAAGACAGCTGGATTCTCATATCTATTTCTGTAGTCAGTCTTTGCAATACCATGGATCACAGGGCAAAATGAAAATGAAAGTGAAAAAATCTTATCAGTATTATTATAAAAACACTTCAGAATCTTTGAAAGGGTTGTAGTGACCTCCCGGAGCCCTCGGACTACTTTGAAAACCACCGGTGTGAGTTTTTGGTATTAAGGTTATACTAGTCTCTTAATGTAAGCTGGGGAATGTTTCACTGTTTTTCTGAAGTTGGAACTAATTTGTGTAAAATTGGAATTATTTCTTGAATGTGTAGTAAAACTTGGAAAATCTGGGCCTGGGATTTTCTTTCTAGGAAGATTTTTAAACTTTTGATTTGATTTCTTTAATGTTATACAAATATTCAGGTTTGCTATTTTTCCATGAGAAATTTATATATATATATATTTATATTATATATTATATATATATATTTAATATTTATTTATTTTGAGGGAGAGAGAGAGAATGAGCAGGGGAGGGATGGAGAGAGAGGGAGAGAGAGAATCCCAAGCAGGTTCTGCACTGTCAGCGCAGAGCCTGATGTGGTGCTCGAACCCACAACCATGAAATAATGACCTGAGCCAAAATCAAGAGTCAGATGCTCAACTAACTGAGCCACCCAGGTGTCCTGAGAAATTATATATATAATATAATTATATATTATGTAATTTATATATATGTATTAAATACATATAAATAACATAATATATAATGTATTGTATATAACATTTTAGTTTTAAAGTTATATATAATATATACAATATATGTAATAATATAATATGTTATATATATATAACATATATATATAAATTTTTTTTAAGATTTTATTTATTTTTGAAAGAGAGCACAAACCAGAGAGATGCAGAGAGAAGGGACAGAGGCTCAGAAGCAGGCTCTGCGCTGACAGCACAGAGCCCGAGGTGGGGCTTGAACTCATGAACTGCGAGATCATGGCCTGAGCTGAAGTCGGACATTCAACCGACTTGGAGCCACCCAGGCGCCCACCAGAAATTATATTTTTAAAGAATTTTTCTAATTTATTTAAATTTTCAAATATATTGGCATAAGTTCATTGATATCATCTTACCTTTTTTTTTTTTTAATGTTTATTTTTGAAAGAGGGAGAGAGACAGAGTGCGAGCAGGGAAGGAACAAAGAGAGAAGGAGACACAGAATGTGAAGCCGGCTCCATGTTCTGAACTGTCAGCACAGAGCCTGATGCGGGGCTTGAACTCATGAAATGTGAGATCATGACCTGAGCCAAAGGTGGAGACGTAGCTAACTGACTGAGCCACCCAGGCTCCCTGATATCATCTTCCCTTTTAAATACAGGCAGCATTTAGAGTTATGTTCCTCTTTTCATTCTAGATATTTATTTGTGCTTTTTTCCCCTCTTTTTCTTGATTAATCCTACCAGAATTATATCAAATGTGAATTTTATTCATCTTTTTAAAAAAGCAAACTTGAGCTTTTTTGATCCTTTCTATTTTGTTTTTTAATTAATTACTGTTTTTCTTTTATTAGTTATTTCCTTCTATTTGGGTTTATTTTGTTGTGATAGTGCCTTTTCATAGTCTGTAACTTGTGAATATTTGTAAGCTCCTGTGTGGATTCTATTTTTGTTCCATTAATCCCACTCCTGTTACATACGAAATCAGTTTTTTTCCAAACTGTGGGTGACCCATTTTTGGGTGATTGAATTGATCTAGTAGGTAAGGCCCGCATTTTTAAAAAGCAGAAGCATAACAGAATGGAAAAATTTAGTATTCATTACATATTCTATGGCTAGTAGTGGGTACTAAGATTACATATTTTGTCAACTTTTTATTTCAAATACAAACACACGCACACACCTGTGTCTGTTTGGGTCAGTATAAAATGTATTTCTTATGGTAGGTTTTAGTTTAAAAAGCACAACCAACCAAAGCTTGAAAGCCACTGTGTTCATTGCGGTTTGTCTAATTTCAGTGAAGATTTCAAACCTCTTGGCACATCACAAACACCAAGGAGCCTGTAGCATGGAAGGTTCCGTGACTCTGTTTTAGACCTGCTGATGCAAAGCTCCAGCACCGGGCCAAGCACTGTTTTATAACAAGCTGGCTCTGTGATTGTCACCCACTGGGTGTTCGCGAACCACCGATTCAGGGTACAAACACACACACATTGTGTGAGCTCGTCCCGGAGCTCCCCGTCTCCTCAGTGCTGCAGAGATGCAGAGGGTGGCAAGGGAGGTACGGGGGCCCCGAGGTGGTAGGGAGTAGGGGCAGGCTGGTTGTTGGAACAGCAGGAAGAGTGAAGTCACCCTCAGTCCCCCGTGTTCTGGAATCCACATTCCTGGAACCAATGAGTGTATATTGAGTGGCTGATGTAGGTTCCCCAATGATGGTAATTTTTAAGCTTAAAACATATGCACTTTCATGCTTTAGTCTGTGAAAAGCAAATTTCTTAGGTTCCAGCTCGTGGTCTTAAGAGCTGAAATCATTCGTGACTATTTATGTTTTGCCCAAAAAGCTGATAGGGATTACAACATTCAGAGCTTGGCAAAGTCCTGCTAGCTGGGCAGAAGGCCGTTTTGTAGTGTGGGCAGTGATTGGGAAGAGCTCCATTTAGTCAAAGTAGAAATGGTGGTTAACTTTTAAGATGGTCTTATGAACTCAGTTGTTTCCATTTTTACTAATCGCTTTTCTGCAACACCAGTGAGTAGGATGGGACCATTTCATATGTTGGGACTTTGACACTTGGTGTGCCAAAGTAGCCCAGTGCAGTGTGGGGGGCCTCCGACACGTGATGCCACCGCACGTGGCTCTGCCCTCCCTACACGGTATCTAGGCATTGGATGGGGCAGGTTTGTTTGGTGAGGATCTTAAGTTGTGATCTACGGCGGAAGGGTGTCTTTTCAGTTGAGGACTAAGAATTTTCTATCAGTCAGCGATGCTTATCGGCTGCTTCATGTACGTGTTGCTGTGTGACAAACCAGCCCAAGCCGTAGAGGCTTGAACAACAATAACAGCCACGCACTTGCTCCGGACTCTGCAGTCTGTGCAGAGCTTGCTGGGGTCGGTGCATGTCTGTTGCACAGCTGCCCCTGTGCCTCCCTGCAGTGGCCTTCAGCTGGGAGCCCAGCTTCCTTTGCAGCCTGGCAGCTGGGTTCCCAGAGGACAAGAGCCGCCGCTGAGAGCCTCTTAGGGCCTGAGTTCAGAAGCCCTGGAATGCCAGTTCTGCCGCATTCTCTTGGTTAGAGCAAGCCACGGGGCGAGCCCCGATTCAGGGGAAAGGGACATAGATTCTGCCTTTGATTAGAACAGTGGCATGCATTCTCAAAGATGTAAAGGGTTGCTGGCATCCGGCTTTGGAAGTTGCTCTGCCATGTTGACCGTTCTTTCCCTCCCTCCCTGTCTCCCTGTGCTTTTCTTCCTTCCTTCCATCTGAGTGTGTCATGTGTCACCTTCATTGTGAAGCACAAACGTGTGTTTCATTAAAAGGTTAAAGAGTAATCTTTTCTTCTCTAACAACCCCTGGCACTTCACTGATACTTTCCTAGTGATCCTTTTACGTTTTGCATTTTGGTAGAATTTTGTCTTCCCTCCCTCGGTGGAGTATCCGTTCCCGTGAGGTGGGGCCTCCGCTTTCCTCCTCGTTTCTTGCAGTGTGTGGCAGGGGCTCGCTCACCTGGGGCTGACCAACTAAGTGAATGAAAGCAGAGTTTAGAATAACCAGGAGTCTGTTTGTCCAGATGAAGCATCAGTTCCTGTTAGGCAAGTGTGATCAAAACAAACCCGCTCTCTAGCTCTTCTACTTTTCATTTTTCTTCCTTGGTCAGAGTCCTACTGCCGAGGCCGCACACATTTACCACTTATGCTTTCCTTGCATCTGTATTTATAGGATACAGTTGTAGTTTTATATTTATCAATATTTATGTTGAGTATGTATACTACTCAATATGTCATATAGCATATGTTTAATGCACAAATATATATTTGTATGTGTTTATGAGAAAGATCAAAAATCCCTTTGTATTATTTCATCAAATCACTTAAGGAAAGAAATAGGTATACTAAGAGTCAAGAGCCCTCTCAAGGGCCATTTGCCACCCTAAAGACTTGGTTTTTCTCGTTTCTGCCCCTCGACCTAGGAGTGTGAGGAAGAGGCTGTCTGTGTCATTATGTGCGCGTCGGTCAAGTACAACATCCGGGGTCCTGCCCTCATCCCGAGAATGAAGACCAAGCACCGAATCTACTACATCACCCTCTTCTCCATTGTCCTCCTGGGCCTCATCGCCACTGGCATGTTTCAGTTCTGGCCCCATTCCATCGAGTCCTCCAGCGACTGGAGTGTAGAGAAGCGCAGCGTCCGTGACGTGCCGGTGGTCAGACTGCCCGCCGACAGCCCCGTCCCCGAGCGGGGTGACCTCAGCTGCAGGATGCACACATGCTTTGATGTCTACCGCTGTGGCTTCAACCCGAAGAACAAAATCAAGGTGTATATCTACTCTCTGAAAAAGTACGTGGATGACTTCGGGGTCCCCGTGAGCAGCACCATCTCCCGGGAGTATAATGAACTGCTCACGGCCATCTCCGACAGCGACTACTACACTGATGACATCAGCCGGGCCTGCCTGTTCGTCCCGTCCATCGACGTCCTCAACCAGAACACGCTCCGCATTAAGGAGACGGCACAAGCCCTGGCCCAGCTCTCTAGGTAGCTGGTGCTTTTACAGCCGGGAGCTGTCCTTTGGGGAGCTGAAGGGAATGTGGGGAGAGGGAGTGGTTCTTCTCCTGATCTGGCTCCGGCTGCTGTTGCTTCCTTGTGGGAGGGCATGTGTGCGAGGGACTGACCTGTAGCACGAGGCCAGTGCCCTAAGCACCCGGCCTCTGTACCAGCGACAAGCCGTTTGCCGTCGGCACTATTGCTGGGGGCTCTGAGCATCCCAGAGTTTAGAATCTAAGGGTGGCTCATCTTCCCATGCCTTTCCCTTTATATTTAAGTGTTCCTCCCCCCCCCACCCCATTACATACACAATCATGTTCAGTGTAAGAAGTCTGAAAACACACGTAAGCAAGGAGGATGTAAGGTTTGTTCCATGCTGCTGCTGTGATGTTACATCCCAGTCACTCTTTTTTTTTTTTTTTTTATGTTTTATTTATTTTTTGAGAGAGAGAGAGTACAAGCAGGTCAGGGGCAGAGAGAGAGGGGGACAGAGGATTTGAAGCGGGCTCTACACTGACAGGCTGACAGTAGCGAGCCCGATGCGGGGCTCAAACTCACAAACCATGAGATCATGACCTGAGCTGAAGTCAGATGCTCAACCAACTGAGCCACCCAGGCTCCCCTTCCAGTCACTTTTGTATAAAAAATGAATACATGTGCATGTATATGTACATTTTTTTTGTATGAAACATATGCATATGTGCATATACGTGTTGTCAAGGGATTACACAGTATATATTCTTGTGCTGCCTTTTCCCCCAAATATGTATGAATCTGATTCCAAATAATTTCATATTCTTTTGCTATATAATTTTAAGAGTTGTATAGCATTCCATTTTACACATGTTCCATGCTGTATTTACACCAGCCTTCTATATTTGATATACTTTTTTCCTTAACCAGATGGTGAACATTGAGATCGTTTTCAGGTTCTCACGGTCATGGGCACTTCTGTAGTGGGCAGACTTGAAGTACACATCCGCCCACCGTTTTCTTCTGAGGAACCAGGCTGGTGTGTGACGTCCTCGTGGGATTTCTAGGAATTCACTTTGCACACCCGAGAAGTGGCCCTGTTTTGGGCTGGGAGTACTTACTGCTTGTCATCCAGGAACTGACGCTTGGTTTTGTTTCTTGGGAGCTGACATGTGAATTCCCTATGTGTGTAATTTTTTAATAGGTGGGATCGAGGTACAAACCACCTGCTGTTCAACATGTTGCCTGGAGGTCCCCCCGATTATAACACGGCGCTGGATGTCCCCAGAGACAGGTAGGTGTGCTTGGGGTGTCCCTGTGGTGGGTTTCTGACGGTCAAGGAAATGCAACACCCTTTCCTTCATGTGAAGTCATATTTCTAACCCTAGTGGGACAGACTGTGTCATCAGAATTGTTGGCCAAAATAAAAAAACTGTCCTAGGCATTTACCTACTCAAGACCTAGATGTAGTGAGACCCAACCTACTTAAACCTGTTGTGGAGAACCGGCCAGGACTTCCTTTGTAGCATTGCATTTTAGTTTATTGTTTTAAAATTTTTTTAAGTTTATTTATTTATTTTGAGAGAGAGAGGGCGTGCACACTCACATGAATGGGGGAGGGGCAGAGAGAAGGAGAGACAGAATCCCAAGCAGGCTCCACACCACCAGCACAGACCCCGATGTGGGGCCCAAACCTATGAACTGTGAGATCATGACCTGAGCCGAGATCAAGAGGCTTAACTGACTGCCCCACCCAGGCGCCCCTGTAGTATCACATTTTAAAAAGCTGTCTTTTTATCTCAGTCTGACTTATAGTGTCCTTAGTGCAGTGCCTCCACGCCCAACGTCCGGTTCATGATTGGCTTGTGTGTGCTCTGTCTGAATTTGGGAGCATTTGCCAAAAGGGGAACCACAGCTCACTGTGGAAGGGGGTGTAGAAGTGTGAAAGTGACACCCACAGCCTGTCACCTCAGAGGGACGAGGTGGGGGCAGCCTGGTTGTCATTTACTCTATGTTGCCTGAGTCAGTGGGTTCTTCCTTCCTTCCTTCCTCCCCTCCTCGCCCCCATGTAACCTTTCTTTCTAATGTAACCTTCCTGACAGCACCTGTGGTATGGGGTGGCTGGGATTGCAGGATCGTGATTCTCACTTACTGTACTCACCAGCCCTTTCATACACTGGCCAAACCCCTTGGGCTGGGAGGTTCCTGGGAGGCTTGGGAATGGGGTGCCCCTTGGCCTTCCTCTCCTAGTACTTGATTCGGGGCTTTGAGGAGAGCAGAAAGGTGAGGCCCAGCATAGGGCTCCCGGGCAATGCTCAAGGTACAGGATTGTTGTAAGTTTACGTAAAACTCACTTAAAAGTAATTTCATTATGGTTGATGTTTAATTTTAATTCTTAAAATCATTGTTACCGGCAAAGGTTAGAGAATAACCCGAGGCCAGCTTCCTAGAGGCTGACACTGTTGTCATTTATGAAAATCTGCGCTTGGTACTACTTTTCCCTGAAGATTAAGCCCAGGCTCTCCTCACTTTACGTGGTTGTGTAGGGCCAGTGTTGTGTGTCTGCAAATACTGTGGCCCCAGAAGAGACCTGCTCGCCAGGACCACTCTTCACCTTTGGCATAGAAACCGTTTTGGTCGCTAGAGGGCAGTCAGGCGCCACACATTCGGTACAAACCAGCTGAACTCAAGGTGAGCCTTGGGGACAGCCCTCAGCTGCAGCCAGACCGGAGTGGGCCACTGTTATGGATTTGGTTGCTCCGGGAAAGTGAAATACTTTAAGGAACAGAGAAGGGAAGGGAAAGCTGTTAGGAATGCAGTGTCTCCACCAGCTGTTCTGGGTTTATTTTGAGAAGGATTTGTTTCTGTTTGGGACATTTCACTTTTTGCTGACGTCTTGGTATATGTATTTGCATGGGAAAGAATTTTATTTTTATCAAGTGCATATGTGAAATGGGGTTTCATTTCTCTGCAGGAGAGTGTCAAGTGGTCAGGAAGAAGTTTAAGTTCCTGCTAGCGCTTAGGTGTTAAGGATCAGGAAGGTTAAATCTTTTTCCCCATGTGTGTATTTTTGTAAGTGATTGTAGGCAGTCCTATAGCAGGTAATGAATCACTGCGTAGTCTTCCTTTATCTCTGCACATGGGAAATTTCATTTTGAAACCTAGGTAGTCTTCTGGTTGGAAGGAATGGCAGATTTTTGTTGGTTTTTCTTATCATTTGTCCTTGCTCCTGGATTCAGAGGAGGCACGAGCCATGAATACACCTGGTTTGAGCAGGAGCTATGTGCCAGGTTTTTTGGAAATTAGGCAGCTAGATTAGACTGTTTCTTAGGGCCTCCTGAAGTCTAAGGTTGTAGATGTGATTACTTGAGAGTTGACTCGGGGAAATGCACGGACCAGGACAGACGGAAATGTCTGTTCCACATATAATCTTTTGTGCTGTTTAAATCTTTCTTTATTTCTCTTTCAATTTTTAAAAATTCTACACATGATATACCTGATAATGTGTACTTTCTTTGTACAAGATTGAAACAATATGCAAGTATATAAAGAGTAAAATATAAAAATATGCTTTCAAACCCTCCTCTGTTTTCACTCCCTTACTGAAAGATAATTAAGTACTATGTATGCCTTCTCCTATGGGTTTATACATAAACATGTATATGTGTGTATGTGTGTGTATATATGTGTGTATATGTATATGCACACACATGTACACATCTATATACACATCTATGTAAAAATATGTGTGCGTATATATATATATATATATATATGCACGTACATCTGTTTTTAAAGTTTTCTTTATTTTTTGAGAGAGAGAGAGAGCGAGCTAGAGGGAGAGAGAGAGAGAGAGAGAGAGAGAGAGAATTCCAAGAAGGCTCCACACTATCAGCATGGAGTCCAAAGTGAGGCTCGAACCTACCAACCGAACTGTGAGATCATGACCTGGGCTGAAATCAAGAGACAGTGGCTTAACTGATGGTGGTACCCAGGTGCCTCCATATACACCCATTTTATTTTAAGTGGGAGCAAATTATACCTCTTCAACGTCTTACTTTACCAATCTTTGTTTTGTCATATATATTCTGTAATATTATTACTACCTTGGATTTTTATAATCATTTCTTTGCACACATCTCTCACAGATTTCCACTTTGTGTGAGTTTTATTTAGCCTGTTATGAAACGTTTCAAACCTTTATAAAAGGAGCGACTTTGAGGCACGTGGGTGGCTCAGGTCATGAGCCAGGTTGTGGGATTGAGCCCTGTGTATAGCTCCACACTGAGTGTGGGGCCTGCTTAAGATCCTCTCCCCCCTCCTTCCTCTGCCCCTCCCCCTGGCTTGGGCTTTCTCTCTCTCTCTCTCTCTCTAAAAATATAAATATAAAAAATAAATAAAAGAAGAGACTAGCACAGTGAGCCCACGTGCCCCGCCCAGCTTCAGCAGTCGTTACCTTGAGGCTGGTCTTACTCCTGTCCCTGCCCCACTTGCTTATTTAGAAGCAAATCCCAGACATTATATCATTATATCTGTAAATATTTCCATTTGAATCTCTGCATGATAAGGGGTTTAAAAATATATAACTACAGTACTGTTTCTGCACCTAAAAAATTAATAAGAATCTAATATCACCAGATATCTAGCCACTGTTCAGATGTTCTTGTCGCATATATTTTTTCAGTTTGTTTGATTCAGTAAACAAGGGTGACTAATAGAATTGGTCAGTTTTTTTTTGGGGGGGTGAAATTTGAGGCTTTATATTTGAGGAATTTGCAGGCCTGATTACACGCAAAGGTTGACCTTGCAGATGAACTGTGTTTAGGCCCTGTGGACATTCAGGTAGGCGCAGAGCTGGGGGGACATCTGAGGACATCTGAGAGCAGGGACGGTGGAGTGCATGAGACCGTGCGGGGGGACTCTGTGGCGGAGGAGCTGTCTGAGCCTCAGAAAGGCCTGCCGTGTGCTAACAGAGCTGGAGTTCGCTGTCGGTGACATTGCACTTGGCCTGGCGTGAGTCTAAGCATCGGGTTCATACTTTTTTAGCTGCAAGTCTTCTCTCACTCTCTGGCAGGGCAGCTTTGGAACTGGTCTCTGGTTTTAGGGATATATGATGAGAAAACAGAATGTGCTTTTCAGAAATGCACTTTTCGCTCAATGTAAAACACATGTTCTGTAAAGCAAGGGAAGCTTACTGTGTTGTGTCCATTATAATATTACGGAGTCCTTGGCAGAAGACAATAGAGGGACCTGAAGTCTAATCAGTAGCAGGGCTGGGGCGAGGTCAGTTTGACTAACTGCAGTCCTGGCTCTTGCTGAGGTCCCACGCGGAGATCTTGGGTGTATGACCTGTGTGACATAAGCTGTGCTTCAGATGGCATGCTTTCCTCCTAGCTGTGCATCACCCCCGCCCCACTCTCCCGGAGCAACAGTTGGGGCCCCAGGGACAGAACTACAGTGAAAGATGGTGTGATACATACCTGCTTCCTTCCTTGCCACGTACACAGTCCCCTCCTCTGGGGCTGTGGGTATAATTACCTGATCGCCTACCACCCTGTCTTCCCTGCACCGCCTGGTGCCTCTCTATTGGATCCACGTTTGTTTCTCTGTACGTAGGTCACGGGGCCCCATACAGTCTGCTTGCTGTCACAGAACCGGCCCACATTCATGTTGGATGGATTCATTGCTGGATGCTAATCAGGGAATATAAGACCGTATGCGGGTAGTAAGGATAGTCATTAAGTTTGACAGAGTAGACTGGCAGCTGGAGAGGTTTGTAGCCTGCACATTACCTCACTAACCAATTCTTGGTTTCATAAAGCTTAAACAAACAGATTGGGATTTCCAGGGGTGGTTGGAAAATCTTTGAACTTAAACTGGTCATGTTAGAAGGGAATGTAGGTTGTCATCAGGGTGGGGAAAGGATTGGTAGCAATCAGTATGGCAAAAAATGTGGTTTCTCAGTTCGGAAATTTTGGCTCACACTGTGCATTGTGTGGAACTGGCAAAAACTTGGCCCCAGTAAATGATTTTGATGGGTTTGGGGCCCCAGGGACAGAATAACAGTAAAAGTTGGTGTGAAATACACCTGCTTCCTTTCTCTGATGAAGTGTCACTGTACTACTTGCTGGATCCAATTAAAGCATTATGTTCACAGCTTTCTAATTAAGGAGAATAAAAGCTAGTCCATGCAAACTGCCAGAGAAGAGTAAAGGTCGTCCTGGATTCTTGCCTCCTGAATGGGGACCAAGTGGCTGGAATGGACGGTGAGGGCTGGGGGAGGCCATGTGAGCTACACGCAGCTCGGCCAACACCGGAAGCCCCGCCTGGGGCAGCAGTTGCACAGAGGCTGGGGCCCGTGCAGCGTGGGACGGGACACTTGGCTGTCACTGCTGCTTTCTGTGCTCACTGGGCCAGAGGGTGGATAAGTGACTGCCCCAGACAGTCTTTCCATGCAGACCTGTTGTGTATTCCTGCTGCTGTGAGTGTTGTGAGTGACTCTGGGGAGAGGTGAATGGGATCTGAATAGGGTAGCAGAGGGACTCTTCATAGGGTGTCCTCTGGGCTGTGATATGTTTTACAAAATGGCAAATACGGAAAGACTACTTAGGACCCCAGAAGAAGGCTGATAATGCAGGGATAGAATGCAGCTGCTTGCGGGAGATGTGAGTGTAAAACACGTAGTGCTGTGTCTTTATAGAAAAGTGAGTCAGTAAACAGGTGTTTGTTGATATGATTATTAAGACTCAATTCTCCTTCCCACAGAGGTTGTCAGAATGAAGACCTTCCTTTCTTGTTGTTTGACAAAATCCTTTCCTTTCAGGGCTCTATTGGCTGGTGGTGGCTTTTCTACGTGGACTTACCGGCAGGGCTATGATGTCAGCATTCCCGTCTACAGTCCGCTGTCAGCTGAGGTGGACCTTCCAGAGAAAGGACCAGGGTAAGGTGCATTCAGCTCAGCCCGCTGTGCTGGGAGATGCCGACGAGGTTCAGCGTGGCAGGAGTCACAGCAACGGAAGCCTCGATTACGCACCAGGGTCTTGGAGTCTCCATCTTTCCCACCCCACCCAGGCCTGCTTTTCCTCCACTTTTTTCTAGCTCAGTGAATGCACAGTGCCGTCTACCCGGCTTTCCAATCTGGCATCTCTGTCATGTTCTTGACTCCTTCCCCTCCCGTACCTCCTATGCCAGAGGAGTAAGCTCTGTTGATAACCCCTCCTAAATATTTCTTAGCCCTGCCCTATTTTTCCATCTGCTCTGCCCCCACCGCACACCAGGTTACCGCCATCGCTCCGTGGATTGTGGAAACGGGCCCCCGTTTGCTCTCCCTGCCTCTAGTCTTGCTGCTCCTACAGCCTGATTGTTGACTTCCCGGTTCCCTTCCCATAAAGCCCAGGCCCCTTACAAAGTCTTTCAACGCCCTCTGGCAAGTGGCTCTTTCATCTCTAGGTGGGTCCCCTTTTGGTTCTTTTCTTAGGGTGAGCTTTGCTCTCTCAGCCTGGGCTGCATATATTCTCCACTGTCTGGAAGTTCTTTTCCTTATTTTCATCAGACTGACCTGCTTCTCCTCTGGGCTTCACTCAAGTGCCCCTCATGATACGGGCACTTTCCTAGGCCCTGGGACGGCTTCTCTGCCCTGCGCCCCGAGAGCGGCAGTGTGCCACCCGGGAGGCCGCGTTGTCACAGCTTGCTTGCGGCCCCTCCGCTTGCGAGTTTGGATTTTGCAAGTGTGGCGAAGCTGTTGCCAGATCTGTTTTTTTAACAGCCAAGTTCGCTGTGCTGGCACACAATTGGCTCGCGTTGCTGACCTGTGAGTGAGTAGATGGAAAGAGCTGATGGCATGGGTGTGCAGGGCATTTGGTCTAGGCTTTTTTGAGATTGTGTATTTAAAATTGTGCAAAGTCGCAGTGAGAATCTCATTAAGCTTTAAACAAATACGATAATAGTAGTGTTCTTGTGTGGCAAGTGCTCAGGTATGAAAGCGATGGGTTTGTATGTTGCCACACCAGGAATCTCGTACAGGGGAGGTTTAAAACCCACACCATAGCATTTGGTTGCAGAAACGAGTCTTTAAGGAAATAGTTTGCAAACCATCTCAGACTTCCCCCTAAAAGTCTTTAAGGATTCTCCTGTGTATGTGTGTCCTACTGTGTGGCCTGGTGATCAAATTCTGGAACTTCCTTTAGACAGCAAATTTTGTTATTTAGACAAGATTGAAACATTGTCTGTCCTTAGGCAAGTGCAAAGAAAGACTAAATAGTTCATGAACTTACTGCCTAGATCAGCTTTCTGGACTTTTCTGTTAGTGATTCCTGGAATTGACTCTTTGTTTTGTGATTTTTTAAATTGAGATGTAATTCAATTACCGTAAAGTTCACTCTTAAAGAATATACTTCAGTGGGGTTTTTTAATTAAAAAAAATTTTTTTAATGTTTTGTTTCTGAAAGAGAAGGAGAGACAACATGAGCAGGGGAGGCTCAGAGAGAGAGGGAGACACGGAATCCGAAACAGGCTCCAGGCTCTGAGCTGGCTGTCAGCACAGACCCTGACGCGGGGCTCAAACCCACGAACCGTGAGATCATGACCTGAGCCAAAGTCAGACGCTCAACTGACTGAGCCACCCAGGTGCCCCTTCAGTGGGTTTTTTTAAAAAATGAGATATAGAGGACATATAATGGTGTGTAAGTTTAAGGTGTATAACTGCTGATTTGATACAGTTTGGTGGTTTTTAGTGTGTTCACAAATTTGTACAACTGTTGTCACTCCTGTCTCATTTCAGAACATTTCATCACCCCCCCAAAGTAAACCCCATACCTATTAGTAGTCACTTTCTGTCCCTGCCTTCAAACTTCACACCTGCTATCCCAGCAGCCCCACTCAGCTGCTTTTCCTTCTCTGTGGATTTGCCCATTTCGGACATTTCCTAAAGATAGAGTCATATAATGTGTGGCTTTTGTGTCTCTTTTCCCTTATCATACGCTTTCATCTTTTATCCATTTCATAGCATGGAATCAGCACTTCATTCTTTTTTTAGCTGATTACGGTTTCATCAGATGGCTGTACCTCATTTTGTTTATCCTTTTATAAGCTGATGGACATTTGGGTTATTTCCATCTTTTAGCTATTCTTAATAATGCTGCCATCAATATGTGTAGACAAGGTGTTTTGTTTTTTTTTTTTTTAATTTTTAATGTTTATTTTTGAGAGAGTGTGAGCCGCAGAGGGGGAGACACAGAATCCGAAGCAGGCTCCAGGCTCTGCACTGTCAGCACAGAGCCCAACGCGGGGCTCGAACTCACGATCTGTGAGATCATGACCTGAGCGCAAGTTGGATGCTTAACTGACTGAACCACCCAGAAGCCGTGGACATTGAAAGACTCTTAGCAGTATTTATCATTAAATATGAGCAAAAATATGCTTATACTAACTTTTTTGGATCATCATCAAGATAAAAATACAAAATCTTACAGAGGATTTGTAGACTGGAGAGAAGTATACAGTTGGTGCTGTGTTTTGAGACTAGATTCCTGTGATGAGAAAGTGTGATCTGTGTGAACCTAGCTGGTACCTGTTGGGGCAGTACAAGGTTCTGTCCTGTATCTAAGATCCTAATTTGGCTTATTTATGTAGCACTAGGTATAATAGATACTAACATAATATAAATATATTATGATAGATATTATAATATGAAACTATAATGTTGGAGAAAAGTCCACTGAACTTAGAAAAAAGATTTAACTTCTCCTCTGCTTCTGTCAACATTTAAACTTAAATCAGCTGTGTGATTTTTGAGAGTTGATTTTTAACCCTCACCACCCCCCCCCCCCAAGTTATTCTGGAAACTGCTCAATTCAGTTCACTTCAGTTCTCATCAAACCCCTATTGAAGGCCTGTTGGAACCAAGCATGGCTGGATGGGTGGTTCTCGACATGGGGGGGGGGTTGATTTTGTCTCCCCAGGGATATTGGCAATCTATGGGGCCTTTTTGACTGTGGTGACTGAGGAGTGTGTCTTGACCACGTACAATTTCAATGATTTGCCAAGAGAGCTCAGGACTCAGTATATAGTCACACTCGTGGCTGTGACTATAGCAGAGGGAGACAAAGCATAGGCAGCAAAGGGAGAAGGGACATGGAGTGAAGTCTGAGGAAACCAGGTGCAGGTATCAAAGGTCCTGTCCCGTTGGCATCACACCGTCACACAGGATGGACAAGTGGCGATAGTAGGCGTGAAATGTCGCTTACCAGGGACTTGTTACAGACTCTCCGTGCCCCCAGTTTTCATTGGGAGCTAATCACATGCAGTCTCTGCTTGACATGTGCCCCCGTTTCAGATTTCCAGAAGGAAAGCAGGTGTCCAACAGAAGCCATGTTGTTTGTACAGTTTGGGCCAGTGAGCCACTCCCATCAGCTCTGGGGAGTGTGGGAACTCTCCCAAAGTCAGAGTTCCAGGACGCCAGCCAAGGGCCAGCCTTTCGAAGCGGAGCAGTCAGACCTGCTGTGTGGACTCTGTTCTGCACCGGGTGCTCCTGGCATCCAGTGGGTGGAGGCTGGGGAGCCTCTAAACCTTTGCAGTGCAAACCATGCAGCAGAGACTTCCGGGCCCAGACGGCAGCTGTCTGCGGCGGAGAAGTCTGGGCGAGGCCAAGATGAGTGGCTGGGGACCGGGTCTGTCCAGTCGGGTGGCTGCCTCCTGGGCTCTCTTTCTTAAGACTGCTTGAAGCCTACTCTTTTTATTCTCTAATCTCTCTAGTGGGTGACCCAGCTCTCTTCCAGTGGTTAAGCCTCTTCCTTCCCTCCAGATTTGACCTAGGGGGGAAAACCTACCGAAAAGAAAAGATTTAGGAAAAACAAAGGAGAACGAGCCACCTCTGAAGAGTAAAGATTATTTTCAGGCAGTTACTTTCAGAGGTTTAAGCTGCTGGTGGTGGTGATTTTCTCAGTAACTCCATCTCCCTAGTTTTTATGTATATCAAGACTGAAATTGAAATCTTTAACTAGATCACTTAAGGTGTCAGCCTGTGAACTTGTGCACTCAGGAGGTAGGTGGAGGCAGAGCAGATGTTCGAGGAGGGGAGGAAAGCTGACGGCTGTGGGGGGCATGGTCCTCCCCCTGCTGGCCAGTGGTGGATTTCTGCAACACAGCCGGACTCACACTGCCCTTCTCTCCAGCTTGCAGTCCCCTTCTCTCTGAAAGAAAAGAAAAGAAGAAACAAAGGGCAACATCAGGCTCCAGACTCAGCAGCCTTTCTGGGGATGCAGGAGGAGGCAGGGTGGGTGACCTCACGGCCTTTCCGGGGACCCCGGAGGAGGCAGGGTGGGTGACCTCACGGCCGTGCTTTGGCTTCCCTGCTCTCTGTGAGAGCTGCTATTTCAGGGACTTCCCACATCTCTTGAGGGCGACACAGAGTAGTGAGAGCTTTGTTTTTATTTTTGTTTTAAATCCCTCTCAATATTTTTTCAACGGGAAGCTGAGGATTGTTGCTATTGATAGCTTCTTCTCACAGCTGTGCTGGTCTCAGCTGGAATTCTTGTCATTTTCTCTCTAAAAGGAACTAAATTGGGAGTTTACAACTGTTACTATTGAGGGAGACTTCAAGTTCTCAGCATGATTTTACTTAAACTTAGATTTCAGCACTGCTGGGAGGAAACATGAAAGTCATAGCTAGTAATTCTAGTCCTTAAAAGAAAAACAAATCCACCTTAACGTTTTGTTTGCTCAAAACTAAAATGGGCGCGCACTCCAGCAGCCATCTGTCGGGTCAGGGAGAGCCGGCCGGCAAGCAGAGGGAACGTTTTTAGACTCTGTGCACATCTGCACATTTATGTTGAAAATGCAGTAATGGTAGAGTAGGGGTCCAGTGATCCTGGTGACCGACTGTCTAAAATAGACTTCGTTTCTCAACAGTGAAATCTCAGCCAGAGTCCTCTACCCAGGAGCTTCTTTGAGCACCATACACGCATGTCTGTATTTTACATAGGTGGACAGTCTCTGTTTTATCTACATGCATTCTATCAGCATCTCCAGTTCCACCCAGCACCGCACAAGTGTTCTGGTTTTCTCTTTTTGCGTGTTTGTAACTCCGTTCTCTGCCAGTGAGAAATCTGGCTCCCATTATCCTCAGCACCTTCACGTATTTGATCAACCCTCTTCCGTGTGTGACAGAAGTTCTGTGCCGCCGCTGCCTCCATCACCGCACAGGTGCCCTCCTCAGTCCCGCTCGGACTCTGAGCCCCCCGTACTGGGCTCTTGCCGCTCTCTCCTTCCCACCTGCCCCAGCGGATACCGTCCTCGGCCTTTGGGGGTTCCGGCACCCCACACTGGGATGATAGTACCATTGCTATCACCGTCCCCACAACGTGGCACCCTTTTCGGCCTGCCCAGGCTCTAACACTCCGTCCTGGGATTCCCACCTACCCTGCTAACCTCGCTTGTTCGCCGGCACTTGCTGGGTTGTCATGGCTGCCTTCTCCCCTGCCCCCAGTGCAGAAACTCGGTCACCTTGCAGGGCTCTCATACCCGCACTGAGCCACCTCCCAGCTCTTCCCTAAGTAGAAGCCTTCACCCCAGGAAGGCTCCAGCGCTCCGTGTGGGCCGTTTCTGTCCCCACCGATGCCCTGCAGAAATAGAAACTATTTTCTCTCTAGAACTCCCAGCACTCTGTGCCCTTCTGCACGGGTGCCCTCGTGGGTGCCAGTGTGTCTCTTCTTACTCTAGCTGGCATAGAGCATGCCGGTTTTATGCCAGCAGCTCCACTTAAATAGAAAGTCTCTAGAAATATCCAACAAGTATCAGTGCCCAATGAGATCATCATAGAACCAGTGTCTTAGGAGCTGGAAAGACCTTTAAAGGCCATTTAGCCCCAACTTGATTGCATGGCTGCTTTCACTGTAACTTGATAATGAAAATTTTTCTGATTTGGAATTTAAAAAACCCAGTCTCTTTCACTTTCAGATAGTTTTAATTGTTAAGATAGTTTTAAACCCTGCTTATCTCGTGATTTTTGCCCATAAATCTTTCTCTTGTTTAAATAGACAAGTTCGATTACAGAAATAATTTCAAAGTAGATTGTATTCATTTCAAAATGATCTGCGAGTGCTCTAATATGTGATCTTTTCATCACAATATCATCCCTCTGAAAATTAATGCTTTTTAAAAAAAGCTTATTTATTTTGAGAAAGAGAGGGAGATGAGGGCAGGGGAGAGGCAGAGAGAGAGAGAGAATCCCAAGCAGGCTATGCACTGTCAGTGTGGAGCCTGATGTGGGGCTCAAACTCACACCCATGAGATCATGACATGAGCCGAAATCAAGAGTTGGATGCTTAACGGACTGAGGCAGCCAGATGCCCCTAAAAATTAATGCTTTTACAAAAGAAAAATTATTGAGGCTCAGGGCTGAAAGTAGAATCCAAGAGTCTGTTTTAGTGTCTAGAAGGAATACTTTTAGCTATAAATATTCAGCATATTGTTCAATAAATTATAACAGGGGGAAGTTGCCCAGGATGAGAGGACCAAACTGTGCATTTGGTCCAAACTGACTTCCCCATGGTGCTATTCCATGTCTGTCTTTTCTCCACTTACTTTTACCCTGGTTTCTGGGTCCGAACGACCATTGAGGACAGCTCTGTCAAATAGACCTTTCTATCTGCATTTGTGCTGTTAGGTACCAACTAGCCATGTATAGTCATTGACAATTTGAAATGTGGCTAGTGTGACTGAGGAACTGAATTTTACGTTTAATTTAAATGGCCTTGGGGCACCTGGGTATCTCAGTTGGTTAAGCAGCTGACTTTGGCCCAGGTCATGATCTCACAGTTTGTGAGTTCCAGCCCCATATTGGGCTCTGTGCTGACAGCTCAGAGCCTGGAGCCCGCTTCAGATTCGTGTCTCCCTCTCTTTCTCTCTGGCCTTCCCCTGCTCACACTCTGTGTGTGTGTCTCTCTCAAAAATAAACATTAAAAAAGATGTTTAAAATGGCCTCATGTGGCTAATTGCTTTTAGATAGTGAGGTTTTAGGAAATGTGTCAATCCCTTTCTTTGCTAACTGTGGCATGGGAAGTACCCTTTGCTTTTAGTTTAGCTGCTTAAAGAAATTACCAAAAGGGACGCCTGGGTGGCTCAGTCATTTGAGCGTCCAAATTCGGCCTAAGTCATGATCTCATGGTTCGTGAGTTCAAACCCCGCATTGGGTTCTGTGCTGACAGCTCAGAGCCTGGAGCCTGCTTCAGATTCTATGTCACCCTCTCTTTCTGCCCCTCCTCCGCTCATACTTTGTCTCTGTCAAATAAATAAATAAAAATAAATGTTAAAAAAAATTACCAAAAGAAATGGTTCTGAGGATTTGAAAGCAGTCTGGCCGTGGTATATGCGTTGCTCTGTTTTCTGGATTTATTTAGCCAATCTGGCAGTGGCGTGCCCCTTCTCCACTCATTGCTCTGTGTATTCGGGACCTGAAGCTCAGTGCTGGGTAGAACATGATGGTTTTTTCAGTTAGAGGATGGTTGTTCTTCGTGGGTTAGGTGTTCTCTAGCTAGAACTTCCAAGTATGTCTGAGAAACTAGAGAAACAAAAAAACAATTACCCTTCCTTTCTCCCAAAGCAACTAAAAAAAGAAAGAGAGACAGAGAGATGGGGCCACAGAGTATAGGTTTTGGTCCTTTCTTACATGCACTCATATCAGCTTGCCTGGTGGCATCACCTGTGAGATGTACTGACCAGTGGGAGGTCCCCTGGTGTAGACCATTGGGGGTAGATTCATGTGAGTACTGCTTCTAGGTTTGATGGGGGCTTCGATTCTTCTGGAACCTGCTTTATAGTATTTATGTGTTTGATGGTGATCACTGGCAGCCCCTCAACCTGTGTAGTATTTATCCTCTGGAACCTCTCTGTCCTGTGGGAATCTTCCTTCCAGGAGAGGATTACTTACCAGCTGGTCTTCCCCAAATTTCCCCCTTGACTTCCGGCTTCTGAACTTTGCATCCACGTTTTTGTCTCTTGTGGAGATCTAAATGGTACTAGACCCATGGAGATCCTTTCTTCTTTTTAGACATCCTTGCTATCCAGATGTTAAGACTGGCTGCATACTTAGGTGAAGATGGTTTTTTCCACTTGTTCTCCACTACCAGTTCCGTCTTCCTGTGTCCGGGTGGCTGAGTGAGGCTGTCTTCCCTGCAGTGTCTCTGTAGCAGGAGGAAGCCATGCAGCACCCGGAAGCAGTCCTTCACCTCTTCCGGTTTTATAGCCACTGTTGCCCGCTGTTTGCCTCCCTTCCTATTTGAAGGATGCAGACAGCTTTTCGCTCTTTGTCAGATCAGAGACCTCAGGTATAGCTAATGATAATATGTTGCTATTTCTTCCAAATAGTCAACCAGTCAGTCCCCCCCGCACCCGACCTCCCCCACATATTTGTGGTATGCTCTCCAAGCTTGGCATATTATAAGCATTCCCTCAAAACATGAAGAGCTTATCCCAAAAACAACGTTTAATGATTGCACAGTATTTCAGCACATGAATGAGTCATACCTTACATTCTAACAGGGTATAATATTGTAAATGTTCAGCAGTGCTACAGAGTATAATTTCCCAGAAAATCAAGGGGTGTGAAGACTGGCGAGGACACACTTACTGCCTAAGTTTAACATCAGAGTTCGTCTCACTTTGACCGACACACCAGCGACAGCGTTGCAGTCACCCTCTTTTCTCTGTCGCAGTCCCCGGCGGTACTTCCTCCTGTCCTCTCAGATGGCTGTCCACCCCGAGTACAGAGAAGACCTGGAGGCCCTCCAGGCCAGACACGGGGAGTCCGTGTTAGTCCTGGATAAGTGCACCAACCTCTCGGAGGGCGTCCTCTCGGTCCGCAAGCGCTGCCACAAGCACCAGGTCTTCGATTACCCCCAGGTGCTGCAGGTGAGTGGCGGTCGTCCCCTCCCGAGCCTCGGTAGAGGTCACTTTCACAAAGCAACATGCACCCCGGCGCGGGAGGCTGGGTTCCTCGCGCGGCTGGGGGAATTACCAAGGGGAGAAGAAAACATGGTGCTGCTCCTTACCTGACACACAGGCCTGCACGCACGCCCGTGTGCAAGCACAGCCGCTTGGCCTATGCGTGTCCCTCCTCCTTTTCAGTATTCATCATACTTGAGAATGGGAAATCTGACAGATTTACAAAGAAGCCACATGGACAAAGTGGGCACATATATTTTGCTTGTACCCTTGTATTCATAAGCCCGTCCAGGGAAATTTCCTTCTTTAAGGAGGCTACTTGTATCCCCTGACATGCTGGCCCACAAGGTCACAGTCAACTTTTGCTGGGAGTGGGAGGTTTTCATTTTTTGTTACTGTCTTGTCCATTGGTGTTTTGCCACCCTTGGCATGTCCTACTGGTAGTGTGTCCTTTCGTTAAGTCACGGGCCTGGCAGGACTTCCTCACACGCGGGCAGAGCGGTCCTTCGGGGGATGTTTTAAGCATAAGCAGGATGCTTGACATTCCAAGGGCAGGGGGTCTAGGCAAGGAGAAAGTGAGTCCTGTTCACTGAAGTATTTAAAATAGTTCGAGGGGAAATAGCAAAGAGCTGGTGTGACTTTTTTTTTTTTTTTTTTTTTAAATCTCTGCAGAGATCTGGCTCATGCTGAGATTGTTAAAATACTTTCTTTCCAAAAGTGCTGCATGTCCTGTGGAATGTCTGACCGATAGCAGTGGTGATGCGGGCGGGAGTGTTTCTAGTAACTTTGGTCCAGACAGGAGCAATGGCTGTCGGCACGCGTGTCCGCGTCGGATGCTGCCCCCTCGGGCAGCGAGCTGCCCACCAGCGCCTCCGGGCCTCAGGACACGTTCTCTTCTCCGGCCCTTGCTGCTTCCTCACTTATCCCCAGACGGGTGTGGCATATTGAGTTTGTGTTTTTTTCTGGACTTTCCTTTACTCTAGCTATAAAGGTTAACAGTGGGGTTTTTTGTTTTTGTTTTTGATTTTTTTTGCTTTTTAGTTTTTTCCCCCAAACAGGCAAACACTGGGAGAAACTGAGTGTTAGAGGTATAGAGTTGTTTCTTATTTTGGTTTACCTGTTGCAGCTGCTTGCTCTCCTGTATGTCTCTCATTTCCCGAAACATCCCCCACTTTGACTAGGCTTGAGGGTGTGAAGGGAGAAGACATTTTTTGATTTTGCTTTCTGTTTGGTTTATTGTTCTACAAGGAACCTGTTTGTCTTAGTGTGTTTTCAAAGGCATTGCATTCACAAAATGAATGTCTTCTGCGTGCAGAGCACACTGCTAGATGCTGTGCGGGGCAGAGAGATGAAAGGAGGGTTGGCGGCTTCCCTTGAGGACCCCGTAGAGCCCAGAATGCCCACACGGCGGAGTCCTGTGCCGAGGTGGGACTATGAGCCATGGGACTATGAGCCATGCTCCGCCGCCGTGCCGCAGTGGTTTGCAGTGCACACTAGGGCTGCAGGGGGCCAGGCTGTGGGGGGTTGCGCTCTTGAGTGCCCTGAGGAAGACTTGGGCGTTGGTTCTGGACGTTTCAGACGCCGCCAGTGGAGGCAGTGATGTAGCACGGGAGCTTTGCAGCCAGTGCAGCTTTTCAGCTTCCACCGGGGTCAGCTGTTACCTTTTGGCGTTTTCCGTCAGGACGTCTCAGTGTTGCTTGGCTTCAGCCCTTGGGAGAACATCGTCCGCTGCAGTCAGAGTGAGCAGATCGGCGAAACTGGCTTGTAATCCCCTACCTCTGCTTGTGTCCCTGCAGGAGGCCACTTTCTGTGTGGTCCTTCGAGGTGCTCGGCTGGGCCAGGCGGGACTGAGTGACGTTTTACGCGCCGGCTGTGTCCCAGTTGTCATTGCAGACTCTTACGTTTTGCCTTTCTCCGAAGTTCTTGACTGGAAGAGGTGAGTGTTTCCTTCTGGCTCTGTGTGTAATGGATTTGGAGAGCCCCCTAAGTAACCGTCACACCTCGCTTTGAGAACTACTCCTTTAGAGTGTTTTGCTATATTTTCCATCAGGAGAGTTCGGCCTAGAGCAGGGGTTCGCAAATGAGGCCTTGGGGTCAAATATGGGAAGCTGCCAGGTTTTGTAAATACCGTTTTTATTGAAACACAGCCATACCCACTCATTTACATATTATCTACTGGTTGTTTTTGTGCTGCTGTGGCAGAGCTGAGTAGTTGCCACAGAGATTATACGGCCCACGAAGCATAAAATATTTACTTATCTAGCTTCTTTAAGACATTTAGTAGCCTTGGTCAAGAGCAGTGGCTCTCCACTATAACCGTAGTGCATGCTCACCTGAAGGGCTTTAGAAGATGCCTGGACCTCATCCTCAGGAGCGCTGTACTCGGAAGCTCCTCGGGTGAGTTTGTAGCCACAGGTGTGACCCCCTGCTCTTAGAGACCTCTGCATTTGCATCATGTGACTAGCTGGAGATGGAGTGTCTCCTCGTGGGTGGAAACCTGGAAGCATTCCCAGTGAACAGATGGACAGACGTAGGGTCTGCTTGGCTGTGGCTGCCGCTGCTGTAATGGACAGAAGGGCCCTCCGGTCTCATGCCGTTTCATTTCCCTAGGACTTTGGAGGTTAAAGGTTATTGAAAATTAGCTCCTCTTGTGTTTACTTCTCCAGCTTGACTGCCTCATACTTAATTGCTTTCCCCTCTCCCGACTGTTTTGATATTTCTGTTCATGTCTGACCACCATAGGTAGGTATTAGAACAACATAAGTAGCATTCATTCATGTGTGCATTCATTCATCTTGTACTTATTGGACAGTCTGCTATGAATAATGCAGTCTCTGCTCTTAAGGAGGCTGGGATCTAGTGGGGAGGACAAACCGAGAATTCTCGTAGCATGTGACGTGTGCTGTGGCAGAGGCCTGCACCGGGGGCGGTGGAAGCCCCGAACAGAGTGGGAGCCCCACTCGGCCTGAGAGGGGACGCTGGTATTTCTTAGAGAAGGGCTGAGCCACGTCCCGTCCTTTATGCGTCCTTGGAAACAGTTGTTGGGGGCCCTTTGTCTGCCCGGGGCTGTGTTAGGTGTGGGGATACAAGGGTGAGCAAGGTCAGACCTGGCCCCCTGGAAGGTCCTAGCCAAGTGGTGGAAGACAGACTGATAGACCAGCAGGGGCCAGCTACTGTGAGCAGACGCCCCCCGGGCTGCGGGGGATGCTAGGAGGCGGTGGCACACACCATTGCCGGCAGTGCAGTTGGTGAGGGCTCCGTGGAGGCAGTGACCCTGAGCTGAGTCTGGAAAGTTACTCCTGTGAGAATCCAGACTGGCTTGGGTAGTTGTAATTATGGCTAAGTGGTGGAAGGGGTCTGAATTTGGAGCCAGAAGGTCTGGGTTCAGATAACTGTAGCTGGCTAACTTTGTGATCTTGCCAAATTTTTTTTTTTTTTTGAGCCTCGGTTTTCCCATCTGTATGGTAGAAATCACAGACTGGCCTAGCAGATACTTACTAAGTGCCAGCCGTGTGTGCGGACCTGGTACCAGGTGCTCAGGGCGTGCTGGGGCCTGGAGCCGGGTGTGGGTCCTCCTCATGGATGAGGCTTGTTGGGGAGGGGGTTTCGGGTTTTCATAAGTTCATCTGTACAGCTGTAATGGCTGCCCTGCCAAATGCCATGATGGGTGGGTCATGGCCAAGCCGTCCCTCTCTCATCCACGCGCCTAACCTGCTGGCGAGTCCTGCCGGCTCTGTCCACACCACCTGCGCCTGCTCTTCCACTGTAGTGTGCGGTGGTCTCCAGCTGTTCTGTTCCCTGGAGTTTCTTCTGACGCTTTAGGCAGAAGGACCCCGTTGGAACTTAATCAGATCATGCCAGCTCTTCCTAAACCCTTCTTTCTAATGGCTCTCCCTCTCAGGAGAAGCCGAGCCCTCACAGTGGCCTGCAAGGCCCCGTGCACTCTGCTGAGCGCGCCCCTCCCCTGCTTGTCTCCTGGTTTCCTCCATCCTCTTCACTGAACCCTGGCCTCCGTGCTGGTGCCAGAGTGCCACCAGCGGGCTGCCTCCCCAGGGCCTGCAGCTGCCAGCCCTTCTGCCTGGCCTGCTCTCCCTGGCTGTTCTCATGGCGCCCGGCCCCCATCTTCTTTGTCCGGCCTGGTCACTGTTGTGCCCCCAGGACCTGGCACGTGCTGGGGACTCCGTAAATACATGCTGAGTGAATGCCTGGATTTGAGTAGGTAGCTGAAGGACAGAAGTCCTCGTGGGTCCTAGTGGGCAGGCTCGAGAAGGGAGAGCATACCAGGCCGGAGGAAGTTCACAGCCACAGTCCCTGTGCGGGTAGAGAGCAGAGTTTGTTGACGTGACTGAAAGGGCACCAGTGTGGCTGGAGCACACGGGTGGGGCGGAAGGGGTGTGAGAGGGTCGTCCCGAGGAAGGGAGGAGGAGGGGGAAGCCCTCACCAGAAGGAATGCGGGCAGAGGAGGGGGCGGGTGTTCATGTCCCTCTCGAAGGACTCAGGACATGTGCGGGCAAGTGCTTTGTGTGAAGGGCTGTGTGTATATCAGCTGTTTTGCTGCTGTCTCCAGGGCATCTGTGGTTGTGCCAGAAGAAAAGATGGCCGAAGTGTACAGTATTCTGCAGAGCATCCCCCAGAGACAGATTGAAGAGATGCAGCGGCAGGTAAGGGGCCCGGTGGCATGAGAGGGCGGCCCGCATGCCTGGGGTGCATGTCACAGCTATGGGTGGTGGGGTGACATGGCCTCTGCCGTGTCAGCTGACCACGCTGATGCAAGGGAAGCAGGTGAGCTCCATCAAGTAGGGTTTGGAATAGTAACTGTCAGAGATTTGAAAACTCTCCTGACGTAAGCCTACCACGTTTTTAGGGCCATAGCGTAGCAGTGTGCTCAGGATGCAAAGCTGGACCTTTCTGGGTGGTTGGGTTCACAGCAGGTGATACTTGTCGTGACTAAGGCAGCTCTGGAAGTGGGGGCATTTCAGGGTGACGCTTTTGAGTAGCTGTTGACCAGGAGAATGTTGTTGCATCGGTGCCAGCGCCTCCTCGCTGAGAGCCCCCCCCACCCCCCCCCCCCCCCCCCCCCCCCCCCCCCCCCCGTCTCCTGCAGCAGGTGCCGCCCCCTGCCTCACTTCTGGTGTCCGTTCCACCTTCTGATTGCCCTTCCCCTGGGCCGCTCGCTGAAGCACGCCCCTGGGAGCCTTGGTGGTCCTGCTTCTCTTCTCTTTCCAGAAAGGAATTTAGTTGGGCTGAAATGTCAAACGAGTTAAAAAACATTAAAAAGACTATCCCAAGTTGTTACAGTGCTTGCTTCTGTTTCTTTTCTTAATGGATTTTTAAGGTTTTTATTTTTGTCAAAATTATCTTTGTAGGAAATGCTCAGGAGAGAGGTTTGGAGGGCACTTGGCATCAAGTGTGTAACTGTTCCTGTGCCCTGTGATTTTGGTTTGGCAGCCCCTCCCTGGGCGGAGAGCCTGCATGTGACCTTGTCCAGGGAATGGGTGAGGCCGGGTGGTCACTTGCCAACAGGAGGGGCGGGGCCTGGGCTTCTGACCACTTTGTAAGTCCACGTTCAGTCTGTCCTTCTGCTTTTGGCTCCTCTTTGCCCCTCTTGGGGCTCTGTGGCAGCCGCCTCAGGTTTCCTCAGCTGGTGTTTCCCAGTGGCTCCTTGGGGCTGTGGGGCCGGCTGCCCTGTGTCGTTCTGCCCCTCAGCTTCTGCACTTTGTCGCTGTCATCTCATCTCCTGTTTCTTTATCTTGCAGTGACTATGCCTCTATTTTTAAAAATTTGTTTTATTTGTCATTTTTGGGTTTTCAGGAGGCAGTGAAAATTAGTGGATGTGCTGAGCCTGCCCTCGTCATTAAACCAAGGGGTAGTGGCACCAGGCAGTAATTAGTCTGTGGGTGTCGACCTTGGACTGCCTGCGCCGGATACGCATGGCTCTGCCCTTGGCCAGGGATTTGCCGCCTGTGGCCCTCAGTAGCCTCATCTGTAAAACACACTGGCATTCTGCTTGGAAAGCAAATCACAGCCATTTTAGCCTCTCCATAGTATTTTCACAGCCTGCTCATGTCCACTTTAAGTTTCCAGGCCTCTCAGTTGTTACTTAACTCCTGACCTCATCTGAGTTTAGTCAGTTAGGAAATCCATCCAGAGATCTCTAGATTCTTCATCTAAACCTCTGGTTCCTGTAACTTGTGTAGGAGAAAATGTTCCTTTTCAAGAAGAGTCCTGCTGTCTGAGCTCCTTGTGTTCCTTTTATCGCATCTGGATTTATTAACACAGCCAAGTAGAGAATCATCTGCCGAGTAAGATACCGTCTTAAGATTCCAATCTGAGAAGGCCAAGTAAGCACCCCACACCATCATGTTGGGAAAGAGAATCATTTGGTTTTCAAAGCAGAGCTCCTGCGGCCAGCTTCTAGAATGCCGTTGTTCCACAGAGCCTGGCTGAGGGACCACACGTCTGTGACCAGCACAGCAGCTCATTTCTGAGTCCAGGCTCAGACTCCTAGAACCGTGGAGGTGGAATGAATAGAGGTCATTTAAATAGGGTATTTCGAGGGGCCCCTGGGTGGCTCAGTTAAGCATCCGACTTCAGCTCAGGTCATGATCTCATGGTTCATGGGTTTGAGCCCCACATCAGGCTCTGTGCTGACCGCCAGCTCAGAGCCTGGAGCCTGTCTTTGGATTCTGTGTCTCCCTCTCTCTCTCTGACCCTCCCCTGTTCACACGGTCTCTGTCTCTCTCTCAAAAATAAATAAAAGACATTTAAAACATTTTAAAAAATAGGGTACTTCGAGGTTATTTGGGTTCAGAGAGATACTTGGAGTCAGGAGACTTGGCTATGAGCCCTGGCTCTGTCCCTATGAATTGTATGACAGTGGTAAGTCACCAGGGCTCCCTGGGCTTTCATTTCCTCCTTTATGAAATGGTGGGGTTGTCTAGATCCTCTCCCATGTTCCATTCATCTGTTTAAAAACTCTGTGAAATTTTGTCATTAGCAAGAATGTCACTGTCCTTGACAGCATTATGGCCACGTGGCTGTCTCTTCTCTGCTGTCGCCTCTGAGCCTGAGGACCAGTCACCTCCTGGGGTGGTGAGTGCCCCACATTGTGTAATTGGACAGAAAGGCGGTCTTGGCACTTTCTTGCCTCCCTTTCCGAGTCTTCCTTCTGCTTTCTCATGCCCTTCTTTGCTGCTTTCAGACTTTCTCAAGCACTCTACTGCACTTCTCTGTGTAGACCTGCTCCTCTTTCCCTAAATACCCTGTGTTCTAAAAGTGACCTCTTTCCTTCTCCCAATCCCAGCTCTCTAGATGGACTGATGTCACCTAGAAGTGAGATTAGTTGCTTTAGTAATTCGCAGACAAATAGATGGAAAGGAGGACCATGTTCAACTACTAGAGGCCAAGAGTACACCCTTTTCCCAAGTTGTGACATCAAAAGTGTCTCTAGACCTTGCTAACTGTCCCGTGGGGGCACCATTACTTTGCTTGGGAACCTCTCTTCTGTTGATGGTGATGATCTCATCTCAGATTAGAGAGTGTTCCTTTGCTCTGTAGGACCCTTTGCAGAATATGCTTGTCATCCTATCCATACTGTCCATCAATTTACCCTGGCCTTGGCAGAGGTAGTTGAAAAAATAGCACATACTTACTTGGTTCTGGAAAGGTTTTATACAACTAGTGAATTTTCTTTAGGGGGTTCAGATTCAGATCTTTTTGTAAGTAAGACAGGCATAAACTTTTAGAGGAAAACCGGTTGCATAGGTAGTTGGTTCCTTAGAGCCTCTGGTTGATAGGTCAGATTGAGCTGAGGCGAGGAACAGTCTGATTTTCTTGCTCAGCAGTTGAAAACCAGCTCGAGGAGCTGCATGGACAGTTGCTGCCAGCAGGGGTCTCCAGCCGCTTTTAAGTGACTCCTTTTCCTTGAGGCCATTGAAATGTTGCCAAGAAATCCTAAGGTGCTTCTCACTGGCATTGTTCGCAGGTCTCCAGCGATTAGTTCTTCAAGCTGAGGAAACAGTAGTGCCGAGTGTAGGATTTTTGCTGTCTGTAGATGGCACAGAGCTGAAGTTTCTGAACTGACCCCAATGTTGTGGGGATGGGATCTTGGTGATGAAGATATTGCAGCGACATTTTGTAGCTTAGAGCTGGGGACAAGGGAGGCTACAGTAACTGGTGGGTGCAGCAGCGGAAGTCTTCCTCATGACTTGGGCATTGGGATGCAGCAAGGGAGAGATGTTTTGCCTGACAAGGAAAAGTAAATTTGCCTTCTGATCTTAGATAGGATATCAAAGCAACCATAAAGTTAAGTACAGGGCTGGAGCCTAAGGGAAGTCAGGGTTAGGCTAAGGTTTTTGAAGACAAGTACAACCTCTGTCTCCATTATCTACTCCTGAAAGCTGACGAGACGGCTGGCATACGTGGCATTGGACAGGCTTGGGGCTTACAGGTGTGTGTGTGTGTGTGTGTGTGTGTGTGTGTGTGTGAATGTGAGTAGTTAGTAGAGGGTAAGAGTTATAACACTATAGCACCAACTTTCCAGTCGGCCTTTTATCATCCAATGAGCTAATTTAGTTAATTTAGTCAAACCCTGATTAAGTGTTGTCTCTTCAATGGGAGATGGTGGGCGATAATAATAAATCTGTGATCCCCACTCGCAAAGGCCTGTCATCTTGGAGCTATAGGGACATAAGCACAAAGAAAGCTGAGAAGACAGTGCACATTTTCCAAAGTACATTAGAGGCCTGAAGTGGAAGGGAGAAGTTATGGGCTAAAGTTGTCAGGGACAGGTTTATTGGGGAGGTGGCATTTGAGGAAGGACCTAAAGAAGGAGAGGCCTATCAAGCATCTTTCCTACACGGGAAGACGGGAGGAAGTATGCAACAGAACGTTTCTCTGTAGTCAGAAGGAACGTTCATAGCCCGTCTCCCTTGAATGACGGTGGAAAAGAAAGCAATCTAGGATCTTGGAAGGCTGGGTAGACACCGGACTGTGTAGCTGGAAATGTTTGTGTGGATAGGGAGGAAGGCGTAAACGGATCCCTGGTTTATCTGTTGAGTGGAGTTTCCAAACATTCTTTTACTGGTCAGTGGCTCCACCAGCAGTGACCTCTAACCTCAGCCACACTAGGAGGTGGAAGTCAGGAGCCTGCTTTGCCTTTGAACTCTTCTTTGTACTCAATTGACTGGGAGCCTTTGAGGTGGCAGAAACAGTCAGCATCTTCTTTTCTCCCCTCCTTTAAGCTTGGGTGAGTTGAAATACCAGTTTCCTTTCAGCCTGTTACACCGACCCATCTCACTTTGCCTTCCTATTTTCCTACTAAGCATAGGGAGTATTTGTGCTGCCGAGGAGTCCTTGAAGATACAATCGGCTGACTGAGAAAAAGACATCACATTTGCATTTAAGAAAATACCCCAGGCCTGGGCACCCTCAGGACTCTAGTTAGGTGGCCAGCATTGCTATGACCAAAGAAAAAGCAGAAAAGAGCACAGAGTAGCAAGTGTGTGCGTGCACACCAGGGAGCACGTACTTCATCCACAGGACAGCCTCTAAACCGGGGCTTGCATCTTATCCTACTCAACGTGTCACGTCAACTCGGTGACTTACCCGCTTTCTGTAGCCACAGTAGCTTAGAAGTCACAGATTTGAAGGGCAGAAGACT